TCCAAAAAAAAAAAATTATCTGTGATCTCATCAATTTGGAAGTTCCCTATAATGATCAATCAATCAATCAACAAGCATTTATTAAGTGCTTACTGAGCGTCACTCCCTGTGCTACCTCCTGGGAACCCAACTCTATCCAACAGATGGTGCTAAGCTGCCTAAGGCTTCATGACAGACTTTCAAACCACTCCAGTAAAAATGAAATAGTCCCTGCCTCAAAGTTTATATACATAAATAAATATAAACAGAATAGATACAAAATAAATACAAGGTAATTTAGATAAGGAGGGCACTAGGAACAAGGGGGAATCCATAAAAGCTCCATGCCGAAGACAGTGTTTGAGCTGAGTCTAGACGGAAATAAAGGAATGTAAGAGGCAAAGGAGACAGCCATCACAAATGAAAGAGGAAAGATGCGATTTTGTGTTCAAGGAACAGTATTAAGGTAAATTTGGCTGCACCAAAGAATGCAAGAAGGGTGGTAACGTATATGATTAGAAATGCAGCTTGCCCCAGTTGTGAAGGTCTTTAAAAGGCAAAGATGGATTTTAAGGTTTACTAGTCTGAAACTGCACTAACTTTAGGGATATCCTGTATTTGATCACAGATCAAAGGAAGGAACTACTGCCATTTACTAAGTAAGGGAAGGATATACTTTAAGAAATCACTTTGGCAGTTATGGAGAAGATGGATTAGAAAGGAGAGAGACTCAAGGCAGGGAAACCAATTAAGAGGCTAATGCAAAAGTCCATGTGAGAGATGCTAAGAGCCTGAATGAGGGTAGTAGCCATGTAAGTAAGAAACAAGGAGAGAGATGAAAGAATTTGTGAAAGTAGAAATTAAAAGATCTGGCAACAGGGGCAGCTAGATGGTGCAGCAGATAGAGCACCAGTCCTGGAGTCAGAAGGACCCGAGTTCAAACTTGTTCTCAGATAACAGTTCAAATCTGGCCTCAGATAACTTAATAGTTGTATGATCCTGGGCAAGTCACTTACCCCTGATTGCTTCCTCCCCCACCCCCAAGAAAAAAAAAAAGACTTGGCAACCGAATAGATATGTGGGATGAGTGAGCATAAGAGTTCAGGGTGACATCCGAGACCATGTGATGGAAGGAATATTGGTACCCTCAACAGGAATAATGAGTTTGGAAGGAATGTGGGTTTGGAATAAAGTCAAATGAGATATCTGATGCCAATCGCAACTATCCCTGCCTGCTCATCCTATGCACTATGAAAAATGGATAAGTCAGGGCTGTTACTCATCCAGCAACTTACCAAGATAAGAGAGAAGGGTGAGAGTACCCTAGGAAAAGAAGGGGATTTTCCCAATGTTACCTGCACAGTTACTATGGGTTTCTAGGTCATGGTTAGATTAGAACTACCCTGAAGGGCTGACATGGCACAGAAGATCAGAGGATGGGAGATTGCAAAGCAGCAAGAGCTGATACAAGAGAGTGTTAGACTATAAAAATTAAAGGGGTTGAATGGGCTGTGTCAGAAATAAGTCTTGCAATTGGAGAGATGTTGGAATACAACCCACTTTCCCACTGTAACAGTTAAAAATAAGGTAAACCAAGACACAAAAGTTCTGAGCATGATCAATTTATTGGTAAAGCACAAATCTACCAATAAATAGGATCTCAGTGCCTCAGTAAGCTGAGACCCTGCGGGAGGGAGACAGTTTTCTTTTATAGGGTAGGGTTTGGGGGAGTACAAAATAAAGTATAGAACAGGGTCAATGACATCAATAACAGAGATGCAGAGAACAATATGACTGGTAACAGATCTGAGGGGAAGGGAATGGTTATAAGTTTGGTAATGGAGACCAGGAATGACCCACTTCCTTCCTGCCTTGTGATTAAGAAGTGCTCATTGTTTGAGTGGTTACTTCCGAGGTTACTGATAATGACCTAGACTTTTAGAGAGCAAACCAGACATCTTTAAAGGATAGCTTGATGGTAGAAAAATACTAGGTCTGACTCCCTTGTGTTCACAGGCATCTCTCAAGATCAGTTAAATTCTTTGAGGCAAGAATAGATCAGTGAATAGCAGGAAAACTGAATTTTTAAATTTAACCCATTACAGGCCAGAGACAGAGAACCATGACTTAAGCAGTTACAGGACAAAATCAATTAATTGTAAATAGGATCAAATAAATAAATGATACAGGATAAACTCAGTCTTCTCACCACTTTCTAACTGGATGAGTCTCACACCTTATCTTGATGTTCCAGTGTCTACTATGGCTTCCACACTGGAGACCACTGAATTGTTTTGCTTGCTTTTTCTATGCTAAGGAGCATTATCTTTGCACTAGAAATTACAGACCAAAAATGGCTAATAGGAAGTTGATACAATGTCCTTACTTCTTTTAGCTAAGGAAGCATCTAGTTGGTGTTGATGAGTCATATGGCTCAGATAAATTATATGTATATATCTATCTATCTCCTCAGGTACTGAAAGAGATAGTAGTCGTGATTGCTGTGCCACTTACATAGGTACATCAAGACTGGAGAAAAGAGTCTACAAATTAAAGGACAGTTAGCTGACCTTTAATTCCTTAAACAATCCAAGAAGAGAACATTAAAAACGGTTAATGAACAGCTAGCAAAAGAAGTGCTTGTTAAAGAGTACTATTGGCTTTGAGGACCAGCTATGGCAGACTAATCCAAGACTACTAAATTCGTGGATCAAGAGAATGCTGTAAATACAGTCTACCTACATTTTATCAAAGCATTTGACCAAAAAAAAAAAAAATCTCATTATTCTTGAAGGAAAAGATGGAAAGATGAGTAACAGATGATGATACAATAAGATGGATTTGGAAATGGCTTCCTGGACAAACTAAAAAATTGGCCCTTAATGGCTCAATGTCAGGGTAGCAGGAGGTCTCCAGTGGAATGTCCTAGGAATGGTCATGCTTGGGCTGGCGGTGTTGCTTAAAAGTTTTGTAAATGACTTGGTTTTGTAAAAGCTTTTCATCATATCTGAAGATGATATAAAGCCGGGAGAGATAACTGACATGCCATATGCCAGAGTTAGGACTAAAAAAGATCCTGACAGGCTAGAGTACTGGGTTGCAACTAATAAAATGAAATTCAATAGGGATAAATATAAAGTCTTATTCTTGGCTTAAATAACTCAACTTTATAAGTACAGCACAGGGAGAGATGCTTAGACAGCTATTTGTCTGAAAAATACTGGAGGTTTTAGGATACTTCAAGTTCAATGAATCAGCAGTCAAAAATATTAATGTAATCCTTGGCTGCATCAAGAGAGACTTAGCTTCCAAGAATAAGTAGGTAATATTACTTAAGTACTATATCCTAGTGAGATCACACCTTAAGTACTGTGCTTAGTTCTGAGAGTTCCAGTTGAAGTATATTAATAAGCTGGAGAGCATCCAGAGTCAGGTTAAGTGCTGGGTAACTCAATATTCATCAGAGGCTGAACTTAAACAGAGGTTAGCTTTCTATATCCTGTGGTACAGAACATCCAAGAGAATATATGTCCTCACATAAGAGGACATTGGATCTTGTGGAATTTATGCCAACCACTGAACATTCAGAGGTCAGTCAGAATCCTGTATTATTTTTTGGCACTGGTGGGGCCTCCTAGGCTATAACTTCTAGGTTAACCCCTAAAGACAATGTGATATGGTGGAAAAAAAGCACTGGACATGTATGATACCCTTATGTGTTGACTTCCTCCATTAGACTGTAAACTCCTTGAGGACAGGGACTATCTTTTTCATATATGTATCCTCATATATATGTGCCTAGTACATAGTAGATATTTAATCAACGTCTATTGACTGACAACCTGGTTCTGCCACTTACTGTTACCCTGGGCAAATCAGTTCCTTTGCCTGAGCCTCAGCTTTTTCATCTATAAAATACTGTGCCATTCCGAATTGCTTATTTCAAAGGGCCACTTCCTAATGTACTAGATATAAATGTTGTCTTTATTATTCACAGAGTGGAGAATCTCCTGCAGAGAACTAGCTGTAAAGAAACAGACATCTTTCTGCCCCAACTCTACCCAGCAGATGGTGCTAACCTGCCTAAGGCTTCATGACAGACTTTCAAACCACTCCATGCAAGTCTTATCTTGCCTTCTACTACCTACCTACCTGCCTCCTTGAAAAATGGTTTACTGATAACATTATTTTCGACACTTCTAGATCTGGACAAAGAACATGATATTTTAAGATGTTGCCAAGCAATGTGGAAATTTCTGACAATTTTACTGGAGCTGTGAAAGTAATTAAGCTTGTTCTCTCGAAAGGAACAAAGTGCCATTTCTAACAAGCAAACAAATAATGTAAGTTACTTTTTCCATTCCCATCCCTTTTCAAAACTGCAATCTCATCCTGATACTCTAAAACACTGCAAAGTCTACCTCTAACTCAGTTAAATTCCTGGGTTAGGTGGCACTTGCTGTTTTGAGGGTTGATAGGTTTTGGAATATCTACCAAAAATTTATATTAATTTGTACAGTTTGGAAAGTATGATATCTCTCTTATGCTTTTTCAGAATTAGAAGTTCAACAGCTTCCAGGGGATGTAGCTCATAAAACCACTTAGGACTGCAATTTCTGTGTGAGGTACCTGTATGAATAAAATCAAGGATCTTTTGAAATACTGAAGTATGAAGTGGAGGCATTGAAGCATGTAAGAATGAACATTTCAGCAAAGTCCTTTCTCCCCTCCAGGCTTCAGTTTCCTAATTTACACATTAGATGGTAGAGTATTTGTACTAGATGATCTGAAAGTCTTCTTGTCAACTCTAAATCTTATGACTTGCTATACCAATTTTCCTTCCACGTTCAACAATGTGTTGAAAAAAAGGTACGAACACCGTTGATTGCAGAAAAGCAACAATAGGTATTTGGCACTAACACGCATCTCAAGTTTCTCCTTAAAGGATCTGTGGAAGTCTTAGCAACTTCATCCCCTCAGTTAACCCTACCTCCCATCCTTCACACACCTTGAACACTCACCTGTTTCACATTGTATCCCGCTTTTGCACTTGTTTCGATAAACATAACATTGAGCTCTTTGGCTTTCCTCTCTCCCTCCTCAATAGACACTTGCCTGTAGAGAACAGAAAAAAAAAAAAGAGAGAGAGAGATGATTTGAGATAAAGCTATAGGAGAAGTCCATTCAAAGAGCCCATGAGTATGAAACTTGCAAAATCCTAAGAATTAGTTTTCTCATTTCACAAAGAAACATAGGCATTAGCTTTCTAAAGTCTCACAATGAGGTCATGGGACACTCAAGAACACAGAGAACTTACACCTTTTTCTTGTTTTCTTATACCCAATCTAGACTAGATGTCAGCTGTCATAAAGTATAAGGGGTCAAGGATACTCAGAAGAATTGCTAGTAGTTTTGAATATGATATCTTAACTATATTTACCATAAGGGATATTAAGTATATGCTCTTGATTATCAGCTACCTGCAACTTTTAAGATATTTTTGGAAATGCAAATATATTCTTAAGTATCTAAGAGCTCCTAAAATGAGATAGGTTATCAACATGTACAAACACCCAGCCTAGTGCTTCCTTAAACGTAGGCATTTAAAATGCAATAATCTTTTTTTTTGTACATCGCATAGCGCCTCACACATTTTAAGTGTTTGATGCTTGCTGATTAATTGCACGTCTGAGGAGCTATAGACTGGGAGCAATGATTAGGGGAGAAAGTCATTCTTAATTGATTGTACCTTACCTTAAAATAGGTGGAATAATATTACTGCTTGGAGAAAAGTGCTCAGGCTGGACATGCTCAATACAAACTCAGTAGCAATAACAAAGAAATTGCTAGCCCTATTCTGTTTTTACCTTACTTTCAATAAATGTAACATTCATCTCTGGGCTGAAATCAATCCAGTCAGGGAACTTCAAAGTAATTAATAGGCAGCTAATCTAGAAAGCTGGTTAATTTTTCACTTTTCAAGTGCAAACAAGTTACTGCCTTCCTGAGACTCAGTTTCCTCTGTACAATACTTGCAATACTTACCTCAAAGGTGGTTGTAAGGAAAGCGTATTGTAAACTGTCAAGTGCTACACAAATATGGTGTTATGATTCTTCTAACTCCTCAAATGATTATGACTTAGCTTTGTGATGAATGTGTTATTAGCTCAACACAAATGCCCACGAGACAAAATAAAAGGCAATGCAAGGAAAACGCTTAAAATTAGCCTACAGCAATTCACTTTCAAACAGACTTTTGGGGGAAAAAAAAAGGTCTAAAAAAATTTTTCAAAGTAAAAGATGTCCTTTTTATTGTATAATGAGACCAACACTTTCGACACAGTTGCTAATGCAATACAGTGGATCAGCCCATTCCCATGCCATGTATTTAATAAATGCCACAAATTCAATACATGAATGTTAATACCACCGATCATCCAATGCTAGACACTGAAACATACACTTCTTAAAGGAGAGTGGTCAATATTCTTTAAGGCCAAAACATAACAGGCCCATTAAAGTTTTCACTGAAAATAATCGTTCATTCAAATTAAGGGGCTTCAAAGTAATTAATGCTAAAACATGTGCATTCTATATCCTGAAGACCATTTTACTCATTTCACTATGGTACCAAAATGAAGTCTTTAAGATCAATTCAAAAGTTTGATTTGTTTATAACCATAAATAACTAAGGGACACAAAATTACTAAACAAAATATCCTATTAAAATACGGTGAGTTGAATACTGCCAAGAAAAAAATGGTGGGGCTTTAATCTGTATAGACAAATAATTTTAAGATACAATTCATTTTTACAGCATTTCTGCACAAGTTTTACATGCAAAATACTGCTTCACTTACAAGCCTCTCAAAGTACAAGATTATTTATCAGTTTCTTCTATGAACCCTCTTACACCCAATCTACTGTAGGTGAGTCTAAATAAATGAGATCTCACTTCATTTTAATGACTTATCTTTTTTATGCTATATAAACTTTTTTAAAATAGGGGCGACTAGGTGGCGTAGTAGATAGAGTCAGGAGGAGATGAGTTCAAATTTGGCCTCAGACACATGATACTCACTAGCTGTGTGACCCTGGGCAAGTCACTTAAACCCAACTGCCTCACAAAATGAATGAATGAATAAATAAATAAAATATAAGGGAAAATGAGACAATCAAAATACATGTATGACTGGAAAAGTAGTTGGGTAGGTCAAGTAATGAGAAGGAAGAATATCAGAAATGAGGAATGCCTGACAGCTGGCCTTTATGATAAATTTGTAGAAAGACAGATGTAAATCATGCAGTATAAAAAGACACAGATGGAATGTGTTCTGCACCAATTAGGGTTACCAAAATCAAAAACAAATCCAAAAACCCACTGGCCATAACATTATATATATGTAAGAAACAAGCTACTTCTGTCATAAAATGTTGGCCCAGAAAACACCGGCCAGTTAGCAACTTTACCAGTCCTGCAGTGTGTATCCAAAATGGATGAAATCATAGATGCACCCAAGTTTCAAAATAAAATTTAAAATAGGTCCTAAATTGGTTGACACTCAACAACCCTCTCAACAATATTTCGCAGGAGACTAGGGGCAGGTAGCTCAATGTAGAAATCAAATGCCCTAGAAGAAAGTTACTCCATACCTCTTGTCAGCAAGATCTGTTTTATTTCCCACTAGCATAATGATGACATCACTTCCCCTTTCCGTTCTGACATCATCAATCCATTTTGTGGTTTGCTGGAATGAGTTTACATCTGGTGTAGGAGGGTGGACAAAAAGATGAGTGTTATTGTAGATACCTCCCCAGGTGATGGAAAACCATACCACCCTGGCAGGAGTTGGCACATTAAGACCCACCCTTTCAATGTGCCTACAACATAACTCCATTTTATCTGATGACAGCTGTCAGTAGTTTAACTATACAGAAAAGATGGTTTGCATGTTGGAAGAAATTTTTGCATCCTGAGATTTATAAAATAAGCATAACGGGTTAATTTTAAAAATTACGTATTTATGTACTTGTAGGTATGTATTTCCAAGTAGTGACAGATGTGACAGATAACATGGTTTTACATTGTCTCTCTCTTTTTCCATCACTTACATTTATTTCACAAAGTAAAGCACGTCAAAAAATATGTCAGCCATTAAGTCCCAACAAGTCCAGAGAATTGGTACAAAAAAAAAAAAGAAGCTTTCAAGGAGCTTTTAAATGTCACTGTTTGCATTGCTTAATCAGTCTGTGATCACTTTAACTATGGAGGAGTTCAATGGTTTGGTATGCCAGAAGCACCTGTAATAAAATGCAGTTCTGCAACTGGTGAGAACTCTCCATTACAGCATTTCAAAATGCTTTTTGGACAAGAAAAACAGGTACTATATTTACACTCAAATTTGTAGTCATTTTTCTAGGAAAATCCCCTTATCCCCACCCTGGTTCCACCCATTTTAGTTAAAGTAAGCACAAAAACTTTTAAGCTGCAAAACTTGTCAATGCACAGTAATGGACATACATTTTTTGGAAGAGTAGTATAAAGTGGCAAGAGAGAAGCTTGCATGTAGCAAAAAGAATATGAATTACAGTCTTATTTAAACTGTTACTATCTTACAGCCAGATAAATCTAATTTATCCTTCTTTGTATACTTCAACTGAGTCAACAGGTAACAACAACAAATCACTCAAGCTCATAATGTAATAAACTGCTATCTTAAAAAAAAAAAATCAAAATAACCTGGACACTGTCTTCTCAATTTTCTGGTCAGATCTGAAATTTTCTTGGTGAAGGGAGAAGCAGCAAACTCACTCCATCAATGAAGATGAGGCTTAAACTTTGATCTTCTAGATTCTCTGTCTATTAATGCTAAGCTCTTTCTATTCTCTATTATATTAAGGTAAAGAGTATTCTGGACCTTCTCTCTCTTTATCAAATGGTGTTTAGATAGCTTGGCTTACTTGATTTAGACTCAGCTGACGTGAATTTGAATCCTGGCTCTGATGTTTATTTGCTGTATAAGGCAAGTCACTTAACTTCTCTCATTTCCTTCATCTGTAAAATTGGGACAGCCATTTGGAAGGGGCTTTGTAAACCTTAACACACTCTAGAAATCTGAATTCTTTAACCCATTTCACACATTAATTTTACATGGAGAACTTCAGCAACCTCTTCTTTAGGAACCAATTCCCCACAGAAAATGCTAAGTAATTCAAAATACGGTCTTTGCAAGAAGCGGCAGGAGAAGAGACCACTAATGGTCTAGTCTCTAAATTTTACATATTCTTAGTGAGAAATGACAGAGTAATTTGTTAGCAAAAAACAAATAAATAAGTTTTAGTCATGGAACCTAGCTTCCATCAAATGAAAACGAATAATGGAAAAATGCAGTGTTGCAGTTTCTCCACCTCCTCACTCTCTACCCCTACTGCCCCTCATAAACTGGTGGCGAGGCGAAGGTGGAGAAAAGTCAAGCAGTAGAAACTCCCTAAGAGTCTTAAACCAAGCCTTGGAAAGCTAGAAAATTAAGTGAGATGCTTAAATTCATATTTATTTCCAAATAAATTTTAGAGCCAGTTAGAAGAAAGGGAGGCATTCCTCCAACCAAAGTCATGGCTAGGCCTCAGGGTGGTAGACGGCCACAATTAGGTAAGAGGAAGACCAAGTATAGTGTAAGTACAAGCATGTTTATAAAAATCACCAGAGTACAAGTTCTGATATGGCCTATTCTAAATTTTGCTATGGTAAAGAAAATGTTTTACATGCTAGTATGAAAAATGAGCACATGATGATAGAGCATGCAGCTAAGCTAGAGGCTGAGAGAGGATTAGAAATGCAGAATTCCCCCCACTCACTTGTGATATCATAAACAACAACTGCCACAGTGGAGTCACGAATGTAGCTAGGGATCAAGCTCCTGAACCGCTCTTGACCTGCTGTGTCCCATAATTGCAACCGTACCTGACAACAAAATCAGTCAAACAGGCAAGAAAAATAAGAAAAGTCAACCCAGTGCAAAATACCTACTTGTGATATCGTAAACTACTACAGCTGCAGCGGAATCACGGATGTAACTGGGAATGAGGCTACGGAAACGTTCCTGACCCGCAGTATCCCACAGCTGCAACCTGATCTGTGGGATGGGAGAAAATAAATAAAAAAAAAAAAAAAGAAAAAAAAAGAAAGGCAAACTAATACCAAAAATTTAAAAAAAAAAAGTAATAATGTTTTAAAGGGGGGGGGAGAACTCATGCAGGAATTAAAAGAGTGAAGAGTGGATACAGGAACAAAGTGCTCATTTTCCCCATCCATAAGGAAGCACCAAAGGCACTCATGATACTTGTTCTGTTGGAACCTGGTGGAAATGGTTCCAGGAGAGGAGACATACAGCATTCCCTAGCGCTCCTCCTTCCATCCTCTGAGATTCCAAACTGTTAACCCTTCCAGATAACAAACAGTGGACTCACTTGCTGGTGTACAATTCATCATTATGATACAGGATAAAAATGGAGGCAGCAGTGAACAGCTTGCAGAGATAACAGAAGGAAGACTTACAGGTGGGAGGGCTGCCCCCAAGCTCAGATGTGTCACCGTTACCCAGGGCCAGGGGAAAAGACCACTGGGATAATTATTTATGTTTTCCCTGCTACTGCCTAACTCAACCAGAAAGAGAAATTTTTTCTACTCAACTGTAAATAAGCCAAGTAGTTCTACTTTCTCATATTCAAATGGGAGAGGGAAAAGGAGAAAGGGAAGAGAATAACAGCAAGTACAAAGCTCTCTTTCTTCTAGAAATTTACTTCTAAAAATTCTCCAAATTAAAAAATTCACAAGATCTGGGTTACAATACAAAACAACATTCATAACGCTGTCTCTCTAGCCCAAGTTGATGACAATTTTTTTAAAAAGAAGGCTATCAATATGGTGGTGCTTCTCTGGTACAGATATTAGGTTTTTCTTTTTCTTTTTCTTCTTTTTTTTTTTTTAAGTTCTGGCTGCTGTCTTCATTTTCAATGCAACAAGCATCTATCTCTGAAAGGTCCCTACAAGTACACACATTATATTACAGGGAATAAGCATTCAGAAATGAGAAGGAAATGCCTGACAAAATAAGACTTTCCTTTTTCCTTTTACCATTTTGCAACAAAGTATTATCTAGCAAAGATATTTTATCAGGTCACAGACTCATTTCTCTTCCAACCCAAATGTCCCTCAATGCCTATACCTAGGGAAAGAAGGGATAAAATATCCTTTTAAGCCTTTTTCAAGCTTGTAGTTCTTTCAATTTCTCTTGCTCTTCTTGGGGTTCAAGGCAAAAGGGTTGTGTGAATTTTCATTATGACTTAAGTGAATCACTAGGATGGAGAGTAGGTTAGACACCAATATATGTATGACAGCAAATGACTGTATAAATTCCATTAAGTTCTTACTCCTTTTCGTTCTAAATACTGATCAAATCCTTGATCTTCATTTTCTAATACAGAATACTGAAGAAAATGACACAACTTAAATTCTACTTACTGTTCGATCTTCCAAATACATTGTTTTTGATAAAAAGTCAATGCCAATTGTTGCCTATAAAACAAAATACAAAAAGATGACTTTTAACATTCTCCAAATAAAAGTAATTATCCCACAGTTCAGATTGAAAACTCTGGAATGTATAAGATATAATAACCACATGATTGTCTCAACGGGAAAAAGCCTTTGATAAAGCGTGTACAACACTCATTTATGCTAAAAATTCTAAAAAGTGTAGGCATGGAGGAGCCTTTCTTTTAATATTTTAAAAAGTATGTATATAAAACCAAAAGTAAGCATCATATGCAATGGGGACACACTAGAACCTTTCCCAATAAATATGGGAGTAAAACAAAGATGTCTACTCTCTCCACTATTATTTGATATAGTTCTAAAAATGCTATCAATAATAAGATGATGAGTGAAAGAAATTAAAAGTGTAAAGACAGATAAAGAGAAGTTAAAACTACCCCTATTTTTTTTGATAACATGGTTTACTTGGAAAATCCTAGGGAATCAGCAAAGATTCTAAGACAATAAGTTCAAGTAAAACTGCATGCTACCAAATAAACTCTCAAAAAAAAAAAAAAAGATCAACTGCATTACTATACAATAACTACAAAATCTAACAGGCAATAATAGAAAGGGAAATTCCATTCCAAATAATTACAAAATTCATCTGCGAATCAATCTACCAAAGCACACAAAAGCCTTGTATAGATTCAATTACAAAGAGATCCTCGAACAAATAAAGAAAAACAAATATCTGGATAAATAGTGCTCATGGATGGGCCATGCTAACATTATAAAAATGAGAATACTATTAAAATTAATGGATACTTCTGATAAAAGTAGAACTTGAAAAAATATCAACAAAATTCATTTGGATAAACAAAAGATCCAGACTCTCAAGGGAAATTTTGACAAAAAGTATGGATAAAGGGGGAACAGCACTTCCAGACCTCAAACTATGTTATAATGCAGCGTCAACAAAACCATTTAGTATTGGTTAAGAAATTGAAAGGTAGATCCAGAGAGCTTGGACAAGGGAAAAATCAGAAATAATGCAAATCAATAACCCACTGTTCAATAAACCAGAAAACAAATTACATACAAAAGAACTTATTTGATGATTTAAAAAAAACTTGGGGGGCAGGTAAGTGGCGCTGTGGATAGAGCACTGGCCCTGAAGTCAGGAGGACCTGAGTTTAAATCCGACCTCAGACCAAACACTTGACACTTACTAGCTGTGTGACCCTGGGCAAGTCACTTAACCCCAATTGCCCCAAAAAAATACATTTTGATGTGAAAACTGCAAAGTAGGCTGGAAGAAATTACATTTAGACCAACATCTTATACCATATTCTACATGTATACATACTAAATGAATACATGACCTCAATGTTACAGAGCATACAACAGAAAAATGAGAAGAAAAGCAGAGTATACCTTTCACAACTATGAGCAGATGTATTCTTAACCAAATAAGAGACACAAGCAATTACAAATTTGATTACATGAAACTGAGAAGCTTTTGCACAGACAAAAATTAATATATCTAGAATAAGGAAATCAGCTAAGTAGAAGAAAAATCTTTGTATCAAATTTCTCTAGTATTCAAAATATGTAAACAATTAGCATATGTATACACACATATCTCAGACCAAAAGTCATTAGTAATAAAGGAGATGAAGGATATAAACAGTTCTCAAAAGAGGAACTGAAAACTATTAACAACCACATGAAAGAATGCCCTAAATTACTAATAATAAGAGAAATGCAAATCAAAATAACCCTGAGATTTTGCCCTCACACCTTGAAAATCCGCAGCAGCAACAAAAACAACAAAAAAAAAAGGCAAAAGATGGAATAGTCAGTGTGGGAGGAGTACAGCTGTGAACTGAGAAAACCATCATGAAAAGCAATCTGGAATTATGCAAATAAAGTCACTAAAATGCCCAAATACTTTGACCAGAAATAAGAAAGTCCTGAAATACACAAAAATATTTTTGTGATAGCAAAGAATTGGAAAAAAAGTTGTACAAGTTGTGGCACATGAATGCAGTAGTATAGTAGTACCGTGCTAAAATAAGTGATGAATGTGATAAATACAGATACAATTCATCTACATGAATTGATGCAGAGGGAAGTAAGCAAAGTAAAGAAAACAATATATACAGTAACTACAACAATGTAAATAGAAAGAACCAACACACACACACACACACACACACACACGCACAACTGAATGTTGAAAAATTATAAAGAACAAGCATGACTTGGAAGAAGGGATATAAGATGATATTCTCACCCTTTGCAGAGGTGAGAGGTCCACAAGTATTGTACATTGTAAGCTATTTTCAGACTTTTTCAATGTATTAATCAGTTGTGTTGATTTTTCTTCATTCTTTTTTTGTCTTATTGTTACATTTGTTCTGTCTTATGTTACTATTTTTGTCTTATTATATTTTTTGCTTTTGTGGAGGGAGAGGGTCACTGCAGAGATTATGGTAATGGTTAAAAAATCAATAAATTAAAATAAATCATTTTTTAAAAGAATAACTAAAAATATGAAAAATCTCATCTCAAAAGGAAGAAATCGAAAGAATTATTTTAAATTAGAGCAGAACTTTCTCCTAGAGACCATCTAATTCAACACACTTATTTTTACAGATTTTCCTTGCTCCTGTTCACACAAAATAGAACCAGGATTAGAATTCAAGTTTCTTCCCAGTGTACCAGAAATGGTAAGATGTATGATCTACTCTAATATTAATTGACTAGTACTTGGCAGGCAGTAGAGGAGATGAGTGATACAAAGATGAGTAATACAAAATTTATGCTTAAGAAACTTAAAATCGGGGGGTAAGGGGAAAGAAGGTAAAGGAAGAAGAGTCAAATGTACAAGAATAACTAAAATATCAGGCAGACTTGATAAGCTATCATAAATGAACTGTGAACAAAATATTACATAAGCAGCAGAAAGGACTCAGACTGATGGAAAGCTAGGCAGGCATTACTTGATCTGAGTCATAAAGGATGGTCATAGGATTTTGACAAGCAGAGATGTAAAGAATATTCAAAGGAAGATGAACACCATAAATCAAGATATCTAAGAAAGCTAAGAGTAAGCTAATGTATTCATTAGTTTAATAAACATTAACTAAGCACTTACTATGTGTAAAGGACCTGCCAGATGCTGGAGATAAGAGAACAAAAAAGCAGACAACTTCTGCCTTTAAGACAGGGAAGAAAATAGCATGTACACAAAAAACTAAATATAAACTATAATACACAGTAGATACAAAGTAATTTCTTCTGGGAGGACACTAGCAACTTAGAGTATCAGACTAGGAAATAGCACTTGAACTTAGCCTTCAAAGAAGCTAAGCAATTTTATTAGAGATGAAGGAGTACTTTCCAGGAATGGTAGTCTATGCAAAAGCACGGAGGTAGGAAATTAATGTAATGCATGACCAGATGGGTGACTCAGTGGACGGAGCCCTGGGTCTGGAGTCAGGAAGACCTGAGTTGAGTTCAAATACAGCCTCAGACACTAGTTACTAGCATGTGACCTTGAAAAAGTCACAATTTCTGCCTCAGTTTCCTCAAAAGTAAAATGAGGATAACTACACCAACCTCCCAGGATTGTTTTGAGGATAAAAGCAGATATTTGTGAAATGCTTGGAACAATGCCTGACACACAGTAGGTGCTAAGTAAATGTCTGCCTGACTTCTTTCCTTCCTATCCCAACTAACCATCTCATATTCCACTTTATCCTCAAGTACTCACCCTCCTTTAACCCACATTTCAGTGCCCAAATAATACTTTTTCTGCCTCCACAAATATCTCTTGCATCCAATCCCTTCTCTTTACTCACACAGATACCACCTTAGTTCAAAGCCTTCATCACCTCTCTATCAGATTATGATGATAAATTCCTAATTGGTTTCCCTGCCTCAGATTGCTCCTTATTCCAATCTATCCTAAAAACTCCTGTCAAACAGACCTTTCTGTGAAGACGTCATTCTCCTACTCAATCAATTCCAGTGGGATAAGCTAGAAGCTCTTTTGTTCTCTTCTCTGTTCTTCAAAATAACCCGTCCATGCCTTTGTATCGGCCCTCCTACATGTCTAGAATGTATTCCCTCCTTACAATGGTCTCAAAGAAGCCCTCCCCTCCTTCAAGATGCAGCTCAAGCACCATTATAAAGCCTCCAAACTGCTAGTACCCTCCCTTCTTAAGCTACCTTGGATTTTACTATTTGTGTTCATTCTGTTTATAGTTAATCCACGTACACATATACATTACTCTTCGCTCTCTGGTTATAATGTAAGCTCCTTGTGTTTAGGGATTATTTCATTCATTATATGTTTGCTGCCTAGTGAAGTGCCTAGAAAATATTAAGTTCTTAATACTTTCATGTTTTTGTTGTTCTTTATGAAAGGGATGGTCTTTGGGTAGGAGAGAATATATTTAGAAATGAAGGTGATGAATAAAAAAAGGATAGCGATTTTAAATAACATGATCACATCCTCTATATCCAATCTTATTTCCCACAATTCAGCAGAAATGGAAGAGAGGGTCTTATGAATCTTTGAATCTCCCCTACAACCTAGCACAAAACAAACATTCTGAAACAGACCAATCGTGATCATGTTATCCTTATGCCTGCCTCCCTAACTTGATTCATGCTATCCATCCCCTGAACAATGCCAAAGGCAAACTGCCACTCACCCAAAGAATCCAAATCATATCCATTTTTTTAGCTTCTATCTTGAACTATCTACTAGTCAAATTCTATCTTCACTTCCTACAATCAATCCCCTCCACTCCTGCTTTATTCAAATGCCAAGAGCCATCTTTTTTTATTAATTTATTTTTAGTTTTCAACAATCACTTCCATATGCTTTGGAGTTTTGAATTTTTCTCCCCCTCTCCCTCCATCTCCCTCCTCAAGATGGCGTGCAATCTGATACAGGTTCTACAGATACATTCCTATTAAACATATTTTCACATTAGTGATGTTGTAAGGAAGAATTAGAACCAACA